CCTTAGAAGCAGGAAATTGCCTTACCCTCAGAGCAGAATTCGTCTTGTCCAATGTAGCCATGTGCAGACCAGGTGTTGAGTCTAAGCCCCCTATTTCCAGCTCTTTTCCTAGTCAGTGAAGAAAGATGAGCTTCTGGAGTCATTTGCCCCTGAAATGTGTCTCAGGATGCCAGGGACTTCACACTGAAAATACTTCCATTCTGTGTAGAGAGTTGAAATGATGATGTTTGTCTAGGTACCAAAACATGGCTCAAAGGAGATGGGATGCACACCCTTGTGGGCGATACTCAATTCTTGGTGCTGTGTCAGTGGGTTGGCAATGTATTTATGAAACAGCAGTGTTTGCCAGGATGGAGTGTGATACTGTGGGATGTCCTGTGGATTTACAGTCTCAATTTCCAATTTCAGGGAGGAGAACATTGCTATTATCAGGGAGAAATTCGAGGAAATCCTGTATCATTTGTTGCCTTGTCAACATGCCATGGATTACAGTAAGTCTGCTGTTTTTACTGGCCTTTGCTTTTAAGCAAAATAAAGCTGTTTATAGTAAAATAAGTGCTATTTATTTTCCTACTAGTTTGTCGCCAACATTAAGTATTCGGCAATCTTTAGAAAAAATGAGTTAATTTGAGCCTTGCAAAAGCCTTGTTTGTTTGTTTTCAGGTTCGCTGACAAAGCACACAAGTTTCTTTGTTTTTCTTTTAAACTGAGGACATATGGCAATGGCCAGGTATTGTTTTAAGATAATCTATTATAGGGATGTAAGAGTAAAAGTAGCTGAAAAGTTCCTATTTTACAAGAATAAAAAACCACTGCCAGTATTGACATGAACCATTTGGAAACTTTTTTTTTCTTGTTGCTACAATGATGTATTTTAGCTTTCTTTTCTACTCTCTTTACAAAGGAAATTGTCAGTTTAGAGTTTCTCTTGTCCTATGCTTTTTCTTCACAGAATTGCTGGCCTCAAGCTGTGTGCACGGGATAATACCTTTGATATAGTAAAATCTTGGAAAATCTGGAAGAAAGGATATAACATTGCACAATAATAATTTTTTTTAAAGTACTGAAATTTATTGATCATTAAGTAACTACAGTGTCTGTAATCTGAAGGTTACATGGAGCTGTGTGTTGATTGTACAGCTTTTGGAGCTGTCTACTTTTGGCACTATTGGAAGATGCTAGTCAGGTTTTCAGAGCAAGGAAGTAACGTCAGTGTCTGTTGAATCTGGGAATTACGGGATCTCAGCGCTTTTGATACTGAGATCAGTTTGAAAAGTCATGGCAGCAATTGAGCCTGAGTGGGGATTCTCTGAGCTTTGCCTTTTTCTGAGGAAGCAGGGCTTAGCCGATGGAAAGCTTATTATCTATCTCCAACTATTCTGTAGCTTTGGTATCAGCCATATAAGTGTACATCTTTAAGCAGTGTCTTTCTTTTTTATTTGTATATTCTTCATTAGGAAGGGGGAGAATGCATGCAGAAGACTTGTCATCCTTGTGCTTGACATCCTTGTCTGATTTACAGTTGTGTTTCTCTCTTTTATGATCAAGGTTGAGCAGCTCAAGAAACCTGAGCCCAGTTTCATTGTGGACAGTGAGCCTAAAAATAGTAGCATCCTAATGCATCCTGAGCCACTGCATGGCTTCCATTAGCAGTGATCCATTAGGTCTTGGCCCCTGCTAACTCCTAGGAGAAAAAGCAGAAAGGAAGAAGAGCCTGCATATGTCCTGCATATGTCCTTTCCTGCCCTCCTTTGGTGGGTTTGTTCTTAATACTGACCCTCCTGATGCTCTGTATTTTTAAATTGCCTGATATTCGAGTTGGTCCCTTCTAACACAGTTACGTGATGAAAGATGCATTTTTTTCCCCCTTGTATAATTCAGCTTTCCCTTGAGTGGTATTTTCTTTTTTATTCCCTTTTTCTGATACAGTAAAGTTTCAGCAGAGTTATCCTTCACACAAGATGCAATATGAAGCTTCCTATAGCAGGCTGGTAATTCTAGCATCCAGTATGAGAAAGTAATGTTTTCCTGAACTGCATTAAACTTGCATTCTCTGACACAGCATCTCCATGCTAGCTCCTCCGCAGTCGATTTTAAATGCTAAGTAATTACTAGAAACTCACACTGGCAATCAGAGCTCCTTAGCTCCAACCACAGTTCGGAGCACCTCGCTGGAATAAGGGAAGCTGGGGAGAGTTATCTTCTAATAAGGTCTACAGGGCAGAAGCTTTGCTTTCATGAATTTTAGGAAGTGCATAAGACAGAACAGATGCCTTTAACAGAATAACAAGCCTCATATTCCCAAGTTCATGCTAATCTCCTCTCTTACTTATTAGTACACTTAGATCCTGGCCAGGAACAGCAGAATTTTTCATACATGGGAGAAAATGTGGTTTTTTAATCATAAATTATGAGTTCTTCTGTTGGTAATGTCTATGTTGCGGTCTTCCTTTTATTAGCTAAATTAATTGGATGACTGGCTGACAGAATACTTAAAATTATGAATTTCTCTTAATGACTTGGCTAATGAAAAGTGTGTCTCTGCAACCTTAACTCCGAGTGAGTCACTGTGTTTGGCATTTTTTGTTTTCTGTGGGATTCCTATGAGTTAACACAAAAAAACTTTGAATGCAAAACAAGGGGAGTTGCAGAGACACCAGGTTGGTCTATGATTTTGCTGCCCACTGGTGGTGAATCTAAAACCTGCTCTTGTTACTGCAAGTTAGACTTTCATCACTGATTTGTTTGTTTGAAGAATACACATAATCAACATTCAGGTTTTTGAAATGGCCCGGGTTTTGCTATTGCTTTCTCTCTAACCCATCCATGAGCGTGGGATTTGTCCCCAGAGCACTGGACTATTGAAATTCTGTTGGAAAAGAGCCGTGAATGCTTTGGGTGGGCAGGCCGGATCTGTAGGTCAGACGTGACTATTACTCTTGTCGCCGTTGAGTGGCTTGATCAGAGGTCAGTGCTGCTGGGTACAACAGTCGCATGAGAAGCCGTTGGCTGGTAGCGCTTCGTCTTGCAGACTGTGCTTAAGTAGAATTGTAATTAGAGAGAAGGAAGTTTTGCCTGATTAAGAGTTGTGGGTTGTTCCCAAATCTCATCTTATTCCCAGGCAAAGAGGCTTCAGCAGGTGCTAGAATATTTTTCTTAAGCTGTCTAGACAGTATTTATTTCTACAGAGTAAGCACAGGTAATCTGAAAGGTGAAGCAGCTTTAAATGGTAGATATACTCATGGTCATGCTTGATGTATGTTATAGAGTCAGATACCCAAGCTACTTCTGTGAATGCTGCATGCTTAACCCCATAAGTGAATGATATTGAGAGAAGTATGCTCATCAATAGCTGTGATGGTTTACAAGCCTAATATATGCTTATATTTATTAATAGTCAGGAAAAGAATGACATTATTTTACTGACTGCATCTGATCCTGTGCAGAACCAAAATCAATTTTGCTGATAAAAAAAAAAAAAAAAGCCTCATAAGAAAAAAGAAAAATATCTGGTTTTGTTGTTTATAATTTCAATGGGCGTTTTTTGATGCCTAAAAGTTTGCTATAGAGTAATCTAAATAAATAAATAAGCTTGCTTTCATGCTGCTGTTGTGTACTATGTGCCAAGTTTGAACTTAGAGCTCATATTTATGGCCAAGCTTAAAGCTTTTAGTAGTGGCACTTTGAAAGGGACATGCTGATACAGCCTAATCCCAACCATGCGTGTATGCCACTGCAAGAAAGGCAAAATTATTAAAAAAAAGAAAGCCGATTTGGTTGAAGGTCAGAATGGTAGTGATATAAGAAATGCTCTTTGGTTTTATACTACTGCAGAGTAATGTCTGTAGCAACACTTTCTTTTAAGGTGCAATTCAACCATGCTTGTGTATTATGGTAAAGACTAAAACCTCAGTACATGCTGTACCTAAGTAACTTAAGGTAACTTAAGGAAGACATCCTTGCAGGAATGGACCTCACCTTTGCTGTACATTTGAGTGGAAATGCAAAAGCATCTGGCGTTACTGTCACCGACTGTCTTCATCCCTTTAGAGAGCCTTAACAATTCAGTTTGTTCTTCATTTAGAGTTGAAGTGTGTGTTGGAATTTCAAAATAGGTGATTGTGTGCGGGCAAGCAAAGTGATAGATTTTCTCAGATACATAGCAGTGTGCTTATCATGAATGACCTTCAAATTTCTGTGGTAGAGATTTTATGCCATTAAGAAAGAGAACGCGAGTATTTTGCCAGAACCATAGGTATGGCAGAAGTCTTGGTCTTCTGTATCTATTTTCACCACAACCCATTGGAAGCCTGTCTGATGGTGTTTCCTTCTCCTTACCGTGAACATCATACGATGTCCATCTTGATAGGATAATGCATATAGCCATTAATGTTTCCTAGAAATAGAAACTTAAACCAATTAAATTTAAAAAGACTATTTGTCATAATGATTATTATTGCTGAAGTGCCCCAAACACCCCTCTACACCTAAAAAAGCCCATTATGCCCTTTGTACTTGGTACTATATGAAATTAATGAGGAAAGAGTTAATCAAACCCATTACAACCTAAGGATCAATTCAATTCAGCAATATTTTTATTTGGGGGAAAGCCATGCACATGTTACAAATACGTGTCTTCCTAAAGACAGGTCCCTTATTTATCTGTTGCAGGTAGATCTCTCTTGCATGGGAGTGGGGACTCTGAAATAGATTTTCAGTTGGCTAAATCAGCCAGTTTTTGTGGTGTATATATATGTTCTAGAGAAGCTTTGGGGAAGAAAGAAGAGTCTGCATCACCATGGGAGAGAATATCTTTTTTCCTGAAGCGAAGAATAAAAGATTGACTCAGAATTACGTTCAGTTCCTGAAATTATTTTTAACTGCTTCCTTTTCTAATTATTTAAATTTTAAAAACGTATGAACTTCTTAAACTTACTTCCATGTTGCACTACTATTTGTTTATTAAATCAGTATTTACCTTTCCTGCTCTTGACAGTGGGATGTTCTATGATGGAAATCATACTTACCTTATTGAGCCAGATGAAAACTACACTTCAGATGTAAGTAGAACTTGTAGTCCTGTTACGTTGTTTGTTGAATACAGACATTCATGGGTACAGCATAGGCGTAAGGCTCTGGGACCAAAGGGTCATTGCCTCATTCCCCAATTCATTTATCTTATATATGAGTCCCTATCATCACAGACAAAAGTAGACCTCCAAAAACTAGGCAGTGATATGTGTATATGTGTGTATTCTGTAACACTTGGATATAGAGCAGTGCAGCACCAGAGAGTGATGAGGGTCCCTTGGAGCCAGCAGGAGAAGCCTGTGAGTGCTGCTCTGGATTCGTTACATCCCTCTCCTCCTGGTTCCTCCTTGACTCCAGTTCAGCAGCTCCTGTGACTCTCATTGATGTTCCCTGGGCAGCTCTCTTAAGCCTAACTCTAAGTGTCCTCAGCCACTCTGTTTGATGTACTCAGATATTTCAAATAAAAGATGATTAACTGTGGCGTTAGTGATCACATCACAGCTGGGAAAAGGAGAAGAGTGTAGAGTAATGGTGTCCTGCAACTTGCCTGCTCACTAGAGTAGATGTTGGATAACAAGGACCTTTGGAACTGTCTATTTAGTGCTTGTGAGATGGATTGGTTTATCTAGGTTTAATACATGCAATTCTTTACTATTTCAGGATGACTTCCATTTCCACTCGGTTTACAAATCCAAGTTGTTTGAGTTTCCTTCGGATGACCTGCCATCTGGTATGATTTTTTAATCTTCATGACTTATTGACTTGTTTTAGTCTGAGGCCAAATTTGTTAATCATATTTGATGGATAATCTTCTGATAGTATATTGTTTATCTGTATATCTCTTCTTTTTCCTGATTAAATAAAAAAGCACTGAAAAGAACCTGAAGCGCTGAAAAAACCCCGAATCCAATGAATCCAACCTCTCCTAGACCTTCATGTTTCTCTTAATGAGTCATGCGGTCTATGGACTGCATTATACGCTAGTAGTTGTAGAAAGGAAAGGACAGAGGTAGCCTAAAGATGATGAAAATAAAGCCCATATTGCCAGTGGTGCATAACTCTTCATGGATTTTTCCTATTTTGAGATACAGGGTGAGAACCGTGGTGTGAGCATAAGCCTGGGAGACAAGAACTTGCCAAATATCATTGCTGTTCAGTGACTCTCTCATCTTCAGTCCGTTCAGCATCTTTCACGGTACTGGCTGTAGTGTGGGGTCATGCATTTCAGTACAAATGAATTTGGAAGCAGAAGTGGTTTCAAGTGCTTGTAGCGATGAATCCCCACAGTTTATATTGTGTGTGGAGGGAGAAGAGCTTTTTAAAAAAATGAGTTTTCATCTGAGAAGTTGGCTTGTTAATTGAAGCTAAAATTGCAGTATTTGTGGCATATCCCCATTCTGTCAAAGATTTGCCAGTTTTACAGATGCATTTTCCTACTCTACAAAATAGAGGCTGTGAGGGAACTGGGGTTGTTTAGTCTGGAGAAGAGGAGGCTGACAGGAGACCTTATCGCCCTCTACAACTGCCTGACAGGAGAGTGTAGTGAGGTGGGGGTCGGCCTCTTCTCCCAGGTAACAGTCGATAGGATGAGGGGAAATGGCCTCAAGTTGTGCCAGGGCAGGTTTAGGTTAGACATTAGGAAAAACTTTTTCATTGAAAGGGTTGTCAAGCATTGGAATGAGCTGCCCAGGGAAGTGGTTGAGTCCCCATCCCTGGAGATATTTAAAAGATGGGTAGACAAGGTGCTTAGGGACATGGTTTAGTGGTGGGAAGGCAGTGTTAGGTTAACGGCTGGACTTGATGATCTCAAAGGTCTTTTCCAACCTAAACAATTCTATGATTCTATGTCCTAGATAAATGAAACTGTCCTTCATAGACACTGTCATTTTGGTAGAAACCACCTCTAGACTGATTTCTTCAGGAGACTTACAGATGTCCGGTCATCTCGTTACAAACTATTTGTCCTAGGGTAACCGTTGGATCTGGGATCTTACAGTGCTTTGTACTGCACATAGATGGGCCCTTCCCGGGAGCACAGTGTGTGCAGGTTTGCTAGTTGTTAAGGAAAGTAAAATCATTCAGAGAGCTAATGAGAAAAAATAAGGGAAATTGCTACAATTGGGTCACCTCGATTTCAGTTCTGAAGAAGGAATCAGATTTCTTAGTCTAAACAAAACAGTATCCCAGCTTGGTGCCTCACGTCCTCTGCTGATGATTGCCCAGGCAAGGTGGAGGAGGCGTTGGGATGGAGGGGTAGCACAAAAGGCTCACGTGGTGCAAGGCATAGACATCTGTATCATGAAGCTTCCTATGTGCGTGTGCCTTATACACGTACCATGGTTACCTCCTGTACTTGTGGAGATGGCTGTGTAATGAGAACAATTTGTTGAACATAAGGTCAAACAATAAACTGCATCTTCTATCACACTTCCTTGAGGATATGTCATTTGAAAGGTTGGAAATAATGCAGCCGCTGCTGAGTTTAAAATAAATCTGTCTCAGGTTGTTAAAGTAGGAGACTGCTAGAGCTGGTACTAGTAGATATCTATCAGCTATCTCATAAGATTTCCCAGTAGTGAATTTTCATGTTTTCAGGATTTTGGAATAAAATTAGTTTCTGCTTTTAACATTTTGAAAAGGAATTAATTGCGAGTATAATCTACCAGTTTCACCTTCACCAAAGCTTCTTGATTTTCAAAAAAATTGTCAAAATGGTGCTTCAGGCGTTTTTTTATTTCTGGTTTGTTTCTTTTTTCCCACAAAAATTCAGATATGCTTGTACAGTTTTAATTTTACTGTAGATAACAAGTAAATAGTTGCTGGTTTTGCTGTACAAAGCCTGGCATGTGACACAATGGAAGATGGTGCCGTTAGATTGAATTGGAATCATAAGACTGTAGAAAAGGTTGAAAAGGAGATTTAATTGTGGAGTGCTAGTGGTCCTAATTATACAAATATTTGTAATGTGGATAAGAGTTATAAGGTGCTAATCTTCTGCCCTTTATGTTTAGGATCCCAGATGGAGAAATAAACTTTAACTCACAGTCTGCTCTCCCTCATGCCCATACTTTTTTTTGTAAAACTGTTTGGAAAGGTATTTCTGGGGTTTGTAGTGAAAGTTTCGGTAACATAATAGATTATATCCTCATTAGGAATCCTACCATTTTTCTTTGTCTGTGATTATTCAATTTATCTCTGTCTTTGAGTCATCCTCCATGCATAGCCACAGCTCCAGAGGATGAAGGCAGCCTCCACCACCTTCTGCTTCTCCACCCTTTCCCCCGTGCCCTCAGGAGCTCTGTCCTTCATCCCCCAACCTGCTGCACACCCTGCCTCACCTTCTTCGCTCCTCGCACATGCTGCCCCACCGGTGTCTCTGCTTGGCACTGCCTCTTCCCTGCCAGTCTGGACAGTGCTGATGGTTGTCTTGACTTTTTTTTTGGTTTATTTTCTTTAAAAATTAATTAATTGCTAATAGTATTGTTGTGATTGATTTTTTTTTTTTAAGTACTACAGCAGAATCATTACTATTATTAACAAGCACTGTGCCAGGTTGTGTCATCAGTATTTCTTACATTCCTTATTACTCTCATAATTTATCAGTTTGCCCAGCCTATGAAGATCTTTCTTAATGTCAAGATTTTCTTCTTATCTTTAAAAGAGTCTGTGCATAAGCTAAGATTTCCACTCAGAACTGCGTTAGGAATGGACTGGATGTATCATCAGCTTGAAAACTGATGTTGGAAAGGAAAAAAAAAATCAAGTAATAGGGATTACTCAATATCAGTGATAGTAAAAGCACGCACTATTATACCACAGTTCGATAGCAATGTACTTTTTACATTCTCTTGCTTCTTGGGTATTAAAAAAAGAAAAAGAAAGCTATTGCAGAAAAGGATTAATTGTACAGTACTTTGCAATGGTCTGAGGAGGTAGTGAGGATTTTAAATAAGGAAAGCTTGGATGGATGACTTGGCATGCTTAGAGCATTTGAATTCATATTTTAGTAGACTGTATTTTTTCTCACAGTCTGTACTGAGACATACAGTGCCCTGGCATGGTCTTAGACAACGCTATTATTGAAGGTGTTGTTTTTCAAATAATGCATAGAAGAAGTCCTTTTCTTTTGAGGTCACTTGAAAGCTGTGTAGATGTGGCACTTAGGGACATGGTTTAATGGGACGAGGCAGTATTAGGTTTACGGTTGGACTTGATGATCTTAAAGGTCTTTTCCAACCTAAATGATTCTGTGATTCTATGAATCCTCATTACGCTTTTTCAGGGTTATGTTCCCATCAAAATTTCCGGTAGGCTTTTTCAGCTATCTGCATTTCCTGTGATTTTGCTGGTCATGTTCTTTTGCCTGAGGGTCCCTGGCTGGAAATGCACCTTGCGTGAATTCATCCAGCTTATGAATTATAGTGCAGTGTTAATGTGTGTTGATGTGTTATGTGTAATGTGTAATGGCTGCATCATTCCCCTCTAGAGATGACTGCCTTCCGATAGTGGGTAAAATGATCTCATTTGCTGGTAAAGTCATCTGAGACCACGACCCCTATACACATATTGTAAATTATTATTTTACAAGAAATTCTTCACTGTGAGGGTGGTGAGGCACTGGAATCAGTTGTCAAGAGAAGTTGTGGATGCCCCATCCCTGGAAGTGTTTCAAGGCCAGGTTGCATGTGGCTTTGAGCAACCTGGTATAGTGGAAGGTGTCTCCGCCCATGGCAGGGGGGTGGGAACGAGGTGATCTTTAAGGTTCCTTCCAACGCAAACCATTCTATGATTCTATGATTTTATTGATTGAAAAGTTTTATTTTTGCCAGTTTCATTAACCATGATATAAAACCTAAAATCACAGGTGGAGAGCCAGTTGTGTGGCACTAGAACACAGAGTAAATTAATCAACATATGCAAAGCATAATCAACAACAAATGTGTAAAAAAAATTTCAGGATTTAGTTTCTCATCATTGTGAGCTTTAGAGACTGCAGGTCTTTAAGCAATAAATAGGGACTCTTGGATGTGATTTAATTTATGTTCTTTTTGTAAAGAAAATACTCAAGTGCACTCGTGTAACCATGAAAACACTTTTAAGCAAAGTGCCTATGATTGTCCAGGCCCTCCATAAAAAGATGTCTGCAAACTTCATGTGCCAAAATGCCAGTAAAATCCCCCAGATTTACCCAAGACAATACCCCTTAGTCATGCTTTGCTTTCCTGGTTTCTCTTATGAGTAACTAGCCACTCCTGGTTAAGACTAGCACTTGCACCTGGTAATGTTTTGTCAGATGGGCAATTCAGCTTCGTGTTTTAAGGTTTTGCTGATATGGCAGCCCTGACCAATTCCTATCAGCATTGTTTTTAATCCTATGGGGATTTTGAACCTCATGCAGAAATTGCGCAGTTAATGTACAGGAGGTGGGATGTGGAGCTGTGGGAAGCTTTCCTGTCTCCCCAGCGAAACAGAACTGTTGAGGATTTTGTAACACAACCAAGAGTTGTGTACAAAGGGGTGTGAACTGAAAGTCCCTTAATTTACACAGCTCCTATTGTACTGTCTACTTCTCTGCAGGACTGATAAAATCACTCTGGAATCCTGAAAGCAGTTTTCAATTCCCTGGAGACTGAAAGGATGTCCAAAGCTGGAAAAAGTGCAAAGGAGGGGACAAAGGAAAAAGACATATTATAAAATAATTAATGGCAAACATCTAATTTACGTGTCACAAAAAAAGATCTCTTGGGGTTATGTGAATAGTAAACGTGTTTATAAAAGATAAGGGAAGAGATTTCTGTTGTATAGAGAAAAGCGAGGCAGGGACTACAAATCTAAAATTAAAGATGGAAAAATACTTCTTGGACATTTAAAAGGGTGAGAGCAAGTATTGTCTTCTGCTTAGTTTATAATGTGTCCCTTTCCAAGAGGGCCTAGTAATAGATTTGGTGAAAGGGATTTGGCAAAAGAATAAACTGCTTGGTGCTTAAGATTAGAGGTTTAAGAAATTAAAGACACAGTGGGATTAGCAGGGAGGAATATTGTGTTGGTAGTGAGCATTGCCAAAATGTCATAAGGTTTCTTCCAACTCTAATGTATTTTACTTTGTGAATATAATCGTCTTAAAGCATTAATTCTGCCTTCCGTGCTCTTCTTATTAACTTCGGTAGCTATTGCGAGAGCTCTGTGAATGTCTGCTGAATTCCCGAAAATGTGATTCGCTCCATGGAAGCACTGTGCTAATAATATTACATGCCCCGTGTTGGTGAAGTTTTGGCACAGAACATCTGCTGTGCTTTCTGAAGCGTGACACCCACAGATCAGCTGTTTCAGCAGACCCAGATTATCACTGGGTAGAGTTTTTAATAAGAACCCTGTTACTGGGAAGCATCTGTAACGTTGCCTCCTTTCTAGCTGGAAACTTGAAAAAGGGAGTCGTTGCCGCATCTGATGTGCGGAAGAATGCCGTGCTACTGTCATGCAGCATCAGGGTCACTGGTTGCTGGGTTATATTCTTGTAAACATTCAGTGTATTTGCCTGTGTTTTCTGCTTAGAGTTCTGGCAGATGAATACTACATCGCAGAAGTTTGTTGTAAAGCCAAGACACAAAAGAAGTAAAAGGCAGGTATGTGCCAATACGCTTGTTTATAAGTAATATGCCATCAAGTTTGTTTTGTGTCTGCTGAATTAATTTGTCCACATAGCGTCGTGCTGCTGCTGGTGGTTTGGCATGAGGTTTCTGTATCAGTACAGCTATTACAGAAAGAGATATCTGATGTTGACAAAGTGTTGTTGGGTTCTTTTGGATGTTGCCTACCTGAAGAGTTATAAAATTGTTAACCACTGCTAAATTGCAAATGAAAAAGTAGCTAAAATATTTTCTCTCATTTTAAGCATGACTTTTATCAGAAACTCCCCGTTAATGAAACATTTACCAATATTTTTTTTTGTGTTGCAATGGTGACGTTTATCTCACTTGACTTTGATTTAATATAAATAGTCTAAACTGAGATTTTATTCCCTGTTTATTAAAATGGGGAAGCCACTAAGTGCAGATGTTTGTCTGTATCCTGGAAAGATAGCAATTCTTTGCCTTTTAGGAATGGAGCTCAAATAATAGTACAGGTCAAAGCAGAGCTGGGCAAAAATGAAATACTGAGAGCAGTGGGACAGGAAAAGGACTTCAACATCTCTGACTAATGCAAGCCTTCAGAGGCAAAAGAGAAGTGAGAAAGTCATTTGAGAAATTCCAGAAGCCATTCTTGAGGGTCTTACTTTATATCAGGTGGTTTGCTACTTTTCTATAAACTAGCCATGACTCTGCATTTTTAAATCATAACAATGTAATAACTCTCCTGGAAAACCCAGGAAAACAAGGATACCATGAAGAAGCACAGTTGTAAATGTTTCTAAATACAAAGTAAGCGTAACACGGAGGTGAGTGCTGCGTTCACTGAGTTTGAGCAGTGTGCAAATAAATAATAGAATTGTTACAGAGATTTTTCATAAAGAATGCAGGAGGGATCCCTTTCTCTGTGGAAAAAAAAAGTTTATAGCTGACGCAAGCCATTTTTAGAGATACAGGCCCCATGAAGGATTCTCTTTCTTTAAAAAAAACCCTAAACTTGGGGTTAGATGGGTTGAAAGACTTGATTTCATTGTTTAAGGTCATATAAATGTCCTGGTGAAGGTGAAATATTTGTTTTAAGTGTTGCAACTAAGCATCAGATGCTTCATCAATATCTGAGACCAGAATTAAGAAAGTAGAAAAAAATGTATGCATGAGAAATCTGGTTTCTGAAGCCATTTCTAGTTACCAGTTACGCGCTCTCTGTACTCTCTTAGACTCTCTTACAGCTGTACTCTCTCTGTAGGTTCGTCAGATTCCACGTAAAGTTGAAGAGGAAACAAAATACATTGAGTTAATGATTGTAAACGATCACCTAATGGTAAGACTGACACACTTCAACATCTTAGAATTATTAACATCAAACTGTCTTAGTTGGTCCGTAAAGGATAACAATAAAGAACAATATATGGCCAGAGTAAATTCAGTATGCCCTTAAGAGAAGAGATTATGGTCTCATTAACCGTTGATGAAGTTGCTTCTAAATTTTGGCACAGTAATTTCACCAAGAATACAACCAGGCCTGAGTATCAGAAGGAAGGGTCATGAATTAAAGCTTTGTGTCATAAAGTAACTGATGTCAGTGTGACTCGAGCTGGTGATTTTCCTTCTGGCTTTCTTGAGCACTTATCTTAGTGATAGCCACTCAGCAATCAATAATGCAGTTATTGCAATTGTGCAGCAGCTGTTGACAGTGGGGGGATTAATAGTGACTGGATTTTTGTGATACATCGAAATCAATGCAGAGAAAATGACTTTGTTCAGCTTGTATACTTTCTCTGGGAGTACATAAATAGGCTCTTTAATGTAGTGGAAAGAGACATAATAAAGATTAGTGTATTGAAGAAAAACCAGGCTTATTCAAGTAGGAAAAGGCACAGATTTATGCCAGTGAAGATGATTAATAATTAATGAAAGGAGTATCAAAGGAAATGGTGAGTTCTCCATCACTTGCAATCTTCAAGGCCAGACAGTGTGTTTCGGGAAGATGTGGTGGTGTCAAACACAAACAATAGGATTTTATCTTGAAGTGACTGAATAAAGTTCAGAGATGGGTGGTGCTCCTGCGAATGGTGACGTTAGTTGATTTTACGGTCCTTTACGGCTTTAAAATCAAAATGTATCTATAGATTTTATTTCCCCTTCCTGCAGTGTGCAGCTTCCCTCAAGCATTGCCCAGATTGGCAAAAATAGACATCAGTGTAAAAGGAATGTGCCACTGTCCTTGGACAGAGTTCTCCTCCATCAGCTCAGTTTGGTGAGCATAGCAATAAATTCTTGGATTAAAATGGACAACACTGGATGCAGAATTCCCTAAATTGATGTAATTGTATTTGATCCCGAAGACCTAAACCACAGCTTCCCCTTGGGACCTTAGCTGTCTGGGTCGAATCCCCCTAAGGACGATGTTTCCTAATTTTGGTTAATTACAGCTACTGTGGGAGTTGGTCCACTTTGGAGTTTATTCTCTGAAGCAAATGCCAGTGAACATCCATGACGCTCCCAGAGGGAGCAAGGAACCTCGTGCTTCTTCCTCTGGTCCAGCTGAGTCCTCCCAGCCCCCCTGAGCTCCTCACCGCTGCAAGGGGTGCGGTGCCCTCCCCTCTGGAGTAAAGCTTTTAAAACCCCAACATTGAAATAGGCTTACAAATTACTATACTGAAAATGTTTCCATGGGATGCTTAGAGAAGCTGGAGGCCTAAAGTTTGAGGTTTTAGTTGCAAATAGAGACTTGAGTAGTACATTTATTTCCCTTTGTTCCTGTGCTTCATTTTCCATTTATTTAGTAGCTTTTTCATTTCATCCTTTCTACCATTTTTAGCTTCACAGTCCCTGTCCTGTTTTTTTTACTAGGTGTAACTTCCAATCCTGCTGGAAAGCATGCCTTTCCCCCCCCTGAGCTGCTGGGCACTTCTTGCCCTCCAAAACATCCTAATTTCAAGAAAATAGAGACAACTTTCACTCCAGAATCAAGCATCATGGTTAAACATTTCTGAAAATCTTGGCTCTTCTGTCCTAAATTCTTCTGAGATACTTGTGACTTTCATACCCATGGTACTCATTTATAAGTGTTTTTTTATCTTCCATGTCATCTTTATAGCACTGTATTACAGATAGAGGGTTGGACTAGATGACCTCTAAGGGGTCCCTTGCAACCCAAAACATTCTATGATTCTGTGATTTCAGTAAAGGTGCCATTGAAGTCTGATTGCTCAAGTGATTTGAACCAGTTACTGTGGCATTGTAGTGTGAAACTGTACATGAAGAAATCCAGAAGACAGCTTAAGAGAGAGAACTGAAAAAAAAAAAAGGAAGTCTGATAGATTAAAAGATAGATGCAGGCACTCTTGGGGTAACACCTCTAAAGGAGTCTCGGCTTTGGAAGTTATGTTGCTAATTTCTGTATTGGCGTTTGGAATTAACTTTAAAACTGCCAGTAGTAAAGAAAATGAAGAGAGTAACAATACGTTCCTTTTCCTATAGCATTTTTCAGTGAAGCTCTTAAAGTACTTTCCAAACAGGAATTAACAGATCCTCACATCAACTGTTGTAAAGTAGGTCAGTAATGCGCATTTCTGAGCAATTTCCTACTATCGCTTATTAACATTACATTCAGCACAGGGGACCAAACCTTGCACAGGGGTTTTACTGTTGATGTAGTTGCTTTTTAATTTGTGCTTTTTTGGAAATGGCACTTATTCTTCTGAAGTCTGTGTATGTAACATGTCTGTGTTTGTTTCGCAGTGTAAAAAGCACCGCTTGTCAGTCGGCCATACAAACAGCTATGCTAAATCGGTTGTGAACATGGCAGATTTAGTAAGTATCACTCAACTAAATGTTCTTTTGCAGGTGAGATGAGTCATATGAGTCTCCCGCCAATGTTATTATACCTAATAATAATAATACCACCGTATGTGAAGATCAAAAATTTTCATCTAGAGCCACAGTCAGCCACCTTTTATAAAGCCTTTGTCTAACATAAAGCATTAGAGATTTTTTGTGGCTTCAAACATTTAACTATCTTGCTGGATGAATCCCTTGAGTCTGAGTTTTAAAGTGCACCTTAGATGTGACAGTTTTTAACACAGGATCCCTATGTTGACAACCTGAAACCCAAAGGACAATCTGAAATTGGAATGCACTAAAATGTCTCCAGAAAAAGCGCATTTGAGTAAATGAGTTAGAATAGGGACATACAGGTAGCTTATGGGGGCTGTATTTGCAGTGCTGAACTGGATGAGCTGCTGGCTCTTGCACCTTACCCCAGAAAAGTATTACTAGTAAAAGGAAAATGCGGTTCCCACTCTTGAAAGTATTTCGTGTGGAGTACGAACCCCCCAGCATTGAAAGGATGGCCCTTTTTTTTTGTGATTCAGCCAGCATGAGGTTAAATACTCCTGTAGAAGTGTATAACAGTGAAAACTGTGGTTTTACAGATCACTATTTGATATGAGAGCCCTCATGCGTCACTGGGGTGAGCTGGATCTTACAAAAGACCCATTAATTCCAAATCCTTGAATGATTTGGAATGGTTCTGTAGTAATTTTTCAAAAATCCCATCTCCCTTTTATGCACCTCTGCCTGTGTAGGACTTGCAAGGGATCTTTTTGCAGGCTGAGAGAGCTGATTGAAGAATTAGGCCTAAAATTTAAATTTTACTTTGTCTTCATGCGTGCTTGTTGGTTTTTAGAGAGATAAAAATCACCTGGGAGAACCTAAAGTGTGCTAGAACAAGCAAAATATTTAGTTACATAAAAATGCAAGCTAGTACAAAAAAGGGGTAAAACTCACCTTTATTCTATTTGACATAATATATTTGTTCATTCTGTTAATGTACTAGATATATAAAGAACAACTTAACACCAGGATAGTATTGGTTGCCATGGAAACCTGGGCTACTGATAACAAGTTCACCATATCTGAAAACCCCTTGGTGACCCTACGTGAGTTTATGAAATATAGGAGGGATTTTATCAGAGAGAAAAGTGACGCAGTTCACCTTTTTTCGTACGTAACCTCATGTGATGTTTTTATTACTGGGGTTTTTTTCTTTCCTTGGGGGTTGCTTATCACAAGTGGCTGATGCATCTCCTTTCTGTTGTGTGTGTAATCCACGATAATTCAGAAAATAATGTTTCTGATGGGGAGGAGGGGAAAAGTTAATGCACAAACTGCCGGCCAGTGCAATTACAGGTTTGACTCCGTTTTAGTTGTAATGTACTGAGCCCGAGCTGCATGTGCATGCATCCTTGGTTATTCTGTGCAATTACCTGCTCGGCAAGCACAGCTGCCTGGAAGGCGATGCATGGTTCCACCTCAGAGGCTGGATTCTTTGGCAGTAGAGCACGGAAAGCCCCGATGTATTTATCTGAAAGCAGAACGTTGGTTTTGAAACCAGTAATGTTTCCTGCTTAAAAAGCACTATGGCCTGCTTTGCTTTGTGGAATGACCTGCATGCCACAGGATTACTGAAGTGTTTCAGATCCTTAAGACAGTTTGTTCTCCAGGGAGACGTGCTATAAGGGTAAGCTGGGAGGAATGTTATTTTCTCTAAATCTCCTAATTGTTTTGGAAATAAGATCGATATAGCAAAAGATATCTACAGAAATAGAAGAGAGGTTCATGGCTGAGATTTCTGATCCACACGAGATAGGCCAGCTGAATCGCTCTGTTGGAGTCCTTATCCCTCTCTGCTGACTGTTGTAGGAGCCTATATGAATAAACTTAACCTAAACACCTCACTTTCACATGACTCCAGTAGAGTCCCAGGATACCCGACTCCAGTAGAGTCCCAGGATACCCAACCCCAGTATCCAGCCTCTCAGAAATTTTGCACATGCTTGATTACTGTCATTGACTTCTGCAATGAAGAGAGTGAGTAAGATCTGCAAGTGGTGTCTCAGTTCTTCATCTGTAAAATAGGAATCAAGCTTCCTCACATCCTTCCTCTATCTTCTCTGGTGATATTGTAAGGTCTTTGGGGGAAGTTGTCTTCTTATGAATGCTTGTGGATTGGCTAGGAGAAAGAGGCCCCTATTTGCCCTGTGACCGGGACCCTGGATACCACTGTAGTGCTAATTCCAGTCCTGTCCCTAACACCGCCACTCGTGTTTGAGGTGTTGCATTCATAGACTGTTTAGAAATACCAGTTTCTGAAATCGTGTCTGTGAGTGAGACACGGCTAAGCTGGGAGGTGAGGTTGGCTGGTGTGATGGCATGCTGCTTACAAATGAACTTCTGCCTTCAGCCCAGTTGGCCCATTCCACTGGTTCTTGGTGTTTTTCTGGTCTCCTTTGAAACAAACAATTTGCCACAGCTCAGAGGGATCAGCATGCTGAAGTGGAGCAGAGTATATTTTGTCTCCAGTAACCAGCAGTCATTCATGCTGACGTGCTCAGCGCCAGAGATGATTCGATTTAGGCTCGGAGCACATCTGTCCCTTGGATGAGATCGACTGCAGTTCCAGGGAGTTTTCACCTACCTCTGCATTCAGGCAGCCACCAACACATCTCCCTTTGAGTCTTGCTACATTGGCATTGCCCAACTAGAGACGTGTCTTTTCATTAGTCACCTGTGCATTGGCAGTGTGGCGGCCTCTCCTGCGCTCCGCCTGTAGCATGTGCCAGCAGAAGTCACTTGCTGCAGTGGTATGTCAACAAAAAAAGGCTGGTGAGATTCAGGTGGTTGGGTAAAATAGTCCCCTTATGCTGTCTTATATTAGGTAGTCTGAGAAGGAGGAGGGGAGATGGCATAACTTTTTCAGAGATAATTTGTCATGTGAGGTTTGCGAGTGGTTATCTGGTTTTCCCATTTTGTTTTTGCATAGTTGGCAGCATAGTGGTGGCAGCCAGCATTTGCAAATGCCAGTTTCTCATTTGGAAATCAGAAGGGTAAATACTGGGATGGCTAGGTGGAAAGCTCATGGGCTGAGCAGGGTAAACTTTCTTTTCTTTTCCTTTTTGTCAAAGGGGGAGTCGATTTCAGAGCAGTCGGAGTGGTGTAGCCCACACTGGTGGAATCTGCTCCTTGCTTAAAGGCGGAGGTGTGAATGAGGTAGGTGGGGATACTGGTATGAGCAAAAAGTGGTGGAAATTTATCTGCACAGAGTTTATCAGCACAGACACGTTCCTCAAAATATCTCGCTGCTGCTTTGCTGATGTGGAGTTTTAGTGCCGCTCTGTAGAAGGGATGTCTCAGTGAAGAGTGATGGAGTGAATAAAGTCAGGTCTGGATTCAAATACACTTTTCAGCAGATTCTGCAATATCCTGTCATTCACAGTTGCAGGCAGAATGGCAAGAAACAGATTCTCTCTCACTTATCTTGTCCATAAGCCAGCCAGTTTTCCTCACTTGTCCACTGTCTAGCTGCTCTGAAGTAGGAACTCTTCACACTGTGCATCTGATTTTGCCTTTTGTTGCCTTGACATGAGAAAAGCTTCGCTTGTGTCTGAGATACCTGTAGGTAACTGATTACTCTTTTCTACCTTTCAGTTTGGAAAGCCAGACTTAATGGCAGTTACTCTGGCACAGACCTTGGCCCAAAACATTGGCATTTTCTCAGACAGAAGAAAACTTATAAGTGGTAAGTTTGTTTGCTTTTTCACTTTGTCTCAAGAGAAGATCTTAAAAGGTGGATGATCTATCAGTGTCTCTCTAATATGTTTTTTTTTCCCCCATGTTTCTCACAATGTTGGAATATTTTTATTCTTCTTGTAATAACATGGAGAGAGACTGACATGTCGTTAATTTTCCTCTATTTAAATGCTGTGATATCCCTCTGCCCATAACTGCTGGCAGCACCGGTGTCACCATTATTAAAAATAAATTATAAAGGTGTCTGCCGCTTCCATGCATTTCAGGGAGATCCGTGTCACACCCACAGTCTGAATTGCTGCCATCTTATGGTGCAGAGGTAGAAACCTGGGGATGATGAGGAGCCACCTCAGTCCTGTACACAGGATGGTTTTGACAGTATAGCTTTTTCCCTGTTTGCTTTGATTGAATTCCTCTTGTAGATACCCAAATCCCCATTTTTTGCCACCCTACTGGTACAATTTCTCTGCTGTAACCGTGGTATTCGACTTCTCAGGAACCCCTACTTACCTGCAATGCCTTAATTCAGATCTCTGCCCCCTGCCCGCCCCCAGCAAGCACTTCGCCCTCCCTGGTTCCATGTTATATGAGGTTGCAGCCCATGGAGAACAACGGATGATTAAAATAATAATACACTTTTGAAACAATTTAGCTGATGGAGTGCTTAGTTATTGGATCATTCATACTTTTGTGGCTTACGTATAAAAAAAATAAATTACTGTATTGAGTAATTTAACTCTGCTTAGGTGAATTTTGTTTTCAGGCATTGTAAAGACAGTATATAATGCAGAGGTGTGCCCGCATGAAAAGTTTTTTGCAGTTTATGTAATTTTATTTTCAAAAATATTCAGAAATGTAAGATGGATGATGGATGCTGCCAACATGTTCAGTGTTAATTTTCCAGCTTCATATTATTAACCTGATATATAGGGACAGGGTAAAAGTGAAAATGGTAATAGTGGTGCTTCCCTTTCTTAAGGCTGAGCAGAGGGGCAGGACACGGTTTTGCTGGGGAGGGAGGAGAATGTAACTGTCAGGAAGAGCCTCATTTCCTTTTTAACTGCATTTTTAAAATGGAAGCAATAAACTGATGCTCATGTATTACAGTAAAGCAAACTGCAGAAAGAGAAAGATGAAAGTATAAGTGCAAAGCATGTGTGCAGAAATAGACACAAGACACGGTTTTGGGAACGGAGGACTGAGACTGGAGCAAAGGGATCCCAGGCAGCCTGGCGGCAAGGAGGGCTGCCCAGTGCCCCTGGGGAGTCCTGCGGGGAAGGGAGGCACAGGGATGGGAGGGAGAGCCGGGGAAGAAGCCGCTACATCCTGCTGTACTGGCGTGTGTTTACAGCCCATTTTATGCATTTTTGTGTGCATTATTGTTTGGGGTTTTTTTCAAGTGAAGATTTCCCTGGTCACATTAGCATAGTCATAGAAGAGAATTAAAAAAAAAAAAAGAAGGGTTAAAATTACTTATTTTTTTTACTCTGAAAATTTGGGAAGCAAATATCATGACGCGGGAGAAGGCAGGAGAGCTGACTCATGGTCTGCAAGTGCTGGAGGCTGACACTGCAGTTTCCCCTAACTTCACTTTAAGAGAAGGAAAGAAAAGGAAAGAAAAACAGGGCATATTTTCAAAGCTCAGGATTGCATAGAGTCATGTATAGTTTTTGAAAGGTTTGTCAGCGTGCATTGATACTCTTAAACTAAGGTGTGCAATAAACCAGCAAATTATTCTTTTCAATTTGTATTTAAATGTGAAAAGGAATTGACTACAGCGTGGCTTTTGGCATAAGAAATGTATGCTTTTTGGACTCAAGATGTAAATTTCTTTTTTTTGTTGTTGTCAGGTGAGTGTAAGTGTGAGGACACGTGGTCTGGATGCATAATGGGAGACACGGGGTAAGGCATTTCCCTAGAGGAAAGTCATGTCCTTCATACAATGACGTAAAGGGAAGGTGTGAAAACGTTTGCCTTAAAGTCGGCTGTACAACTTACATAGAAAAGATACGTTCAAAGAAATGCGTGAATAAGTGAGTTACTGAGAGGATATGCGAGGATTTTCAGTGACCACTGGTTTAACTCACAAAGCGCAGGGCTCAACAGCCAAGCCAGGTCATTGGAGAGAAGCAGAAGCACCCTTAGCTTCTTTTCTCCTGCAAGTTTGCTGTTGAGTTGTGGGAACAAACAACGACACATCCTAATTCTTAAAATACTATCATCAAATTGCTTAAGTATGTCTCATTTTCAGTGTTTCTGTTGGAATCTTTTGTCTATCTCTATCATTTTTTATCCTCCAGTTTGGGTGATAATGTTAGAAAAACTGCTGCTGTTGGAGGTTGAGTATGCTTATACCCACATATAATGTCACCAGAGAGATTTTACCTAAAGTCTAGTTAATCAGCAAATTTTTGCTGCTAGGTGAAAAATGATGCTTTCAAACATGTGTATTCAGACTTTAGTTCTTCATATTACAGGCCTGTCTTTTGCCATGTCTGTGAATTAAACTACAGTCCAGTTTTAGATTTAGACCATGCTTTTAAAATTAATTTCAAACTGACCCGCAAATTTTCACAATATCTTTGTGGTCAGAGCAATTTTAAATGAAGAAGCATGTTTCACTGAAAGCTCTTTGGAAGTGTGAATGTGTGCCTTTTTCACCTAGGTAGGATTTTTCTGATTTTTTGTATGTTAAAAAGCCAATCTGAGAAGCATTCTTGATTCTTGTAAAAGTGATTCCTTATCCAATGGTCTTTAAATCCTATATCTGAAATCCAAACCTTTCAAATTATTAGGTACACAGAAAAAGCTTGTATTTACATTGCTTATTGATGAAGGATGGTGAATCCCACGTTCTCTGTAGTCTTTAGACCTAAATCATAAATGCTAGAGATGGAAAAGAGCAATTATGGCTTGCAAGCCATCACTCCCGGCAAGGCAAGATTATTTTGTATAGCACTTCTTCTGCTAATATTTTTTTATCTCGTCATGAGCTGATACAGGAAGGCCCTTGAGACTCCACAATCTGCTTGGAGCATAAATACTTCCATGACTAAGGACCTAAATATAAAGATCACTTAAGGTACTTTGGGAAAAATTCTTTCCCTGTGGAAAGGATCCATGCAAAGATTCTCTGCATCGTATTATTTTTAGGTGGTACGCTGTGCCTTAGGTTGGCGCTCTGCACTTGAATCAAATTTATTCAGTGCGGCACATGAGAGAGGGAAGACAAAATGTTAGCTGGTGTTTGTTAGAAGCATGTTTTAAAATGTCATAACTCTATTATATAAAAATTCTGTGGGCCAGGAGAGCAATTTCATCTAAGAGGGAAATGAACTATGAGCAATCTTAGTCTCCTGCGGTACATACGGGAAGAAATAAATGTCTTTCTGAGATCAGGCCAGTTAGTGGAACAGGTCATGTTTGTGAGGACTACGCGCTGTATAATAAGATTTGTGTATTTGGCATGAAATGTTTTAGACCTCTCCATTTCCATGAGCTCTGTGTCATTGTCGAAAGTTCTTTGTCATTTACTAAAATGATTTACAAATTATATAGTGTTACAAGCAGATAGTCACTCTGATTCTGAACAGTGTCTTTTTCAACTTTTTCTAAAGTATAAGATATTTCTCCTCCTATTTTAAAAAAAGAAAATATAGTGTAAAAAGTGCTATGGAAAGTAATCCTGCTACCTTTTTTCTGTGCAGGTATTATCTTCCAAGCAAGTTCTCCAAATGTGATATTGAAGAGTATCATGAGTTTTTAAACAATGGAGGTGGAGCCTGCCTTTTCAATAAACCAACCAAGGTAAGCATTACCTTATTACTGAGTATTATTGCTGTTCTATCTCTGATTTAGATGTAACCAAGACGATTGAAAGTGCTAATGTTGGAAAAAAGCCCCACCTATAGTTTTGATATCTCTGTTTCTCTCTAAATTTTCTGGTGACATATGAGTGAAAGTAGCTGGTTTTAGTTCATAGTAGTTTGGCAATCATATTTAAATAAATTTTTAATAAGTGGTTTCACGTCCAACAGAGTTCCCACAGGCTTTGATCTAGAATCATCCCTCGTGCAATTTGTTCTGAATACCGTAAATAAAATATGTCGCTGAATTTATTCACTGAGGTTTCAAGCGACTTGGTGAACTTTTGCACAGCTTGAATTCTAATTTGCATCGAACTGATGAACTGATGTCTTTTGGTAGAAATCTCTGGAAGCTGAAGTAAGACTGCTTTTATTTCACATCTGTCCCACGGTGAAGACACAGCTCCTTGAGCCTCTGCACGGGGTGCACTGCCGTGCAGCCCAGCGGCTCTGCGGGCACTGGCGGTTACAAGTGAATGTGATGTTCTCCTGGTTCGGAGAAGGCAAAGTTTTTACAGTGACTCTTAGAACAGAGTGTGAAAACTGCGACCAGTTTTTCTAGAGCTGCAAGAGGCAGAGCAGGAGAGAAATCCCTGAGGAGTAGGGGGCAGACACTAGGAGAGCCCGTGGCTGCTGGGCGCCTGTCACACTTCGCATTGCCCAGGCACTGCCCACATGGTCCCCATCGCTGTCACCAGGTCTGTCAGCTCCTAACCCTGTGAGCTGGGGGAGAAACGTGCCTGGTGAGAAGTGCTTGGATCATCTTAGCTCTGTGTTAGCATCTTCCAGGCCAGCGCATGTGGCTCTGCACAACCCTACCTTGTGCTGGGTGTGGTCCCCTAGACGGGGAAGGCTGGTGAATCCCTGCTGGATCCCGGTCCTCAGTGCCACTGCACCTTGCCTCATTTAGCATGGTGTGTTACCTCCCTAAAGGCTTGGAGGTGGGAGAGCTACAAAAGCATCCGGATCCACTTAAATGACTGACCCATCCCCTCCAAATTTGCCACTAAAGTACAAAATCAGAGGTCTTGCTGCATGAATCTTGGAAATCAGAAGTGGGGAATATCTCTTGAGATAGTATTTACCTTTTCTTTGCTCCACTTGTCTCAATTTTGGTCTGCTAAACAGGTGTATTCACATGAAGGATGCACGGAGTATGAAATGATTAACAGATATTTAAGGGAGATAAATACAAAACAAGGCTGAAGAAACTCCAGCCAAGATGCAAGCACTCCTACAATGGAGGATTCACAGCAGGGTTTCAGTATATTCCTGCTCCATTTACTGAAGCATGTGTTAAAACTTAAAGTAATCAGGATAATGATCTTGACTCTTTTCTATAATTAATGTTATCCTCTATTTAATGGCTGTCTTTCAACAAGGAAAGGAAAGAGGCTAAGGCAGAAAGACAGTGTAACATGGTAAAAAGACTTGGTAGCTGAGGTGGTCACAGATGTAAAAGAGAAAGTAAATTCTGCAGTGATGCACATTCCTCCGAGAAAAAAGGCATGTTCTGACAACCACAAAATTTCAGTAAATGTTAGAGAGGGGAAGAGAAGGCATCAAATCTGGATAAGCTGAGTCTGCTTATCTCTCAAAGGTCTTCATGGAAGAATGTATTACTAAAGTGGAGAGAAAGCTCTGTAATTCATCAATAAGATGTAAGATTTCTCATTCTTTAAAATACTCCTGCATTTTAGAAGTTTGCTTTTTCCCATCTCATTAAAGTTTGAGAGAAATATTGGTGGTTTTATTTCTTTGCTGAGCAAATTGTTTCCATAGTGTAATGTGTCTTATTTGGGCTTGGTTTAGCGATTATGTTCATTTGACACATCTGTCACTTGGAAAAAAACAATTACTCTCATCTCAGTTTAGATTGGCAGCCTTTACAGTTTTTTCTAATGGCATGTGGAAATGTGGAAGTTAGATGTGGAAGCCAGGGTGATTTAGACTCTTATATATTGTTGTTTGGGTTGGTTTAAAGTTATTGTCAGTGGATGTCTGTCTAATTCACAAGGCTGTCAAAGATGTGTGATTCCTAGCAAAGACAGTGAAACACAAACTTACTTTTCCTTTTCAAGAAATATGAGATAAAGGAAAACTGATGTGACAAGGTACAGTGTTTGACAGTGCTCCACATAAGATCAGCTGTGATCCCAGAAATTACATGATCCCAAAAATTATTGATCCCAAAAATTTGCTGGAGCAGATTGAGCATATGCTCTTTTCAAATGAATGGATGGATTCTATGACTTCTGAGGAAAAGTTACCCAATTTGCTTTTCATGTTTTTTTTCTCCCCTTTCATATTTAGGTGTCCCTACGTACTGCAGCAAATTGACCCAATGTTTTAAGGCAGGACCCTCTGTTACTGCCATCTACTTGTCTTTATTGTGCAGCACACCTAGAGATACTGAGGAAGTATAAGGTGTCTGGAAAAATATGCAGGAAACTGGAAAAATATGCAGAAAACAAGCAGTTTTAACAACTCTTTAATAATTCTAAAAGATAATTGTTTGCTTACATTGAATGTAGCATTCTACACATGCATTTCATGTCGCAGTCAAATCTCCATTTCAGTAGAGGGATCTAAAAACAGCACTGCCAGCCTGTACCACAAGCCTCAGGCTGGTTTGTGGCACAGTAAAGTGTGTGGGATGATGCTCCATCCTGTGGGCTACTGGCAGAAAGGCAGCAGACAGAGAAAAATGCTCTGTAGACCATGAGTGATGGGCTTGTGCAGATAGCTTGAAAGCAGAGTGGTTTCTGGAACGATCCCAGTTTAACTGGAGAGCTCAGAGGACAATCTCCAAAATTTTAGTCTTGGTGGCGCACTTACATGCTTTCTTATTTATGTAATAAAAGTACTCTTATGTTTTGTTATGCCCAAAGAAAAAAAAAAATTTATTTTCTTTTTGAAGATTTACCTCTAGAAATTTTAGGAAAACAGAAACAGTGAAACTGGAAAGGACAGAGTATAGATATCCATTAAAACATATAATAGCATGGGTCCTATGTGAAAAACAGTGAATGAATCTTGCCTCTGGGAAAGGAAAACACCAGCACAAATGCCCAGATTTAGACATTTTAGGTTACAGTTTAGTGGGGAGGCTGAAGGGAAGGGGAGGCAGGCTCACCAGCTATTGCTTTCTCATCTGCCTGTGACACATGCTAATGGAAAACTGTTGAAAGTTCCCAACTGTGCTAAAAAAAAAGGGAAGGAAAAGTCATGCGACTGCAACAAAAACTGACAAAGAAACCCAGCCTCTCCCCTCTCCCTGAATTTCTGAGCCATGTGCTCCCAAAGGACAATTTATTATGGCTATTCCTTCTGAAGATATTATGCAGGTGTCAACCAGGGACACAGCCCTCATCACTTGAATTCCAGAACAACAGCAATTTTAACCCCTGTGATGATAATGAAAATGTCATATTGTTTCAATTTTTTTTCTTTTATTGTCACACCTTTTGTTTTTCATTGTAGCTTCTCCTCGAACTGAATCTGCTGTAAAAATGGCCATCTCACACAGAAGATGCCATGTGCCCCTGGGTACAGGGGGACGATCACTTCCCTGCTCCTGCTGGCCACTCTATTCCAGATACAAGCCAGGATGCCATTGGCCTTCTTGGCCACCTGGGCACACTGCTGGCTCATATTCAGCTGGCTGTCGACCAACAACCCCAGGTCCTTTTCTGCCAGGCAGCTCTCCAGCCACTCTTCCCCAAGCCTGTAGCGTTGCATGGGGTTGTTGTGACCCAAGTGCAGGACTCGGCGCTTGGCCTTGTTGAACCTCGTACAGTTGGTCTCAGCCCATTGGTGCAGCCTGTCCAGGTCCCTCTGCAGAGCCCTCCTCCCCTCAAGCAGATCAACACCCCCGCCCAATTTGGTGTCATCTACAAACTTACTGAGGGTGCACTTGATCCCCTCATCCGGATCATTGATAAAGATATTAGACAGAACTGGCCCCAGTACTGAGCCCTGGGGAACAGTGCTTGTGACCAGAATTAATACACACCGTTGTTCATTCTCACATTTCATTTGTGTTGTTTCTAGTCTGCTTCTTCCTGAGTTGTGGGTACTGCGTTTTGGTTAATGCATTTGGAGTGCTAACTAAAACCCCATGTTGTACAGAATAAATACGACAATGTTTCCCTTAGGAGAGAAATGCCCTTTGATTTCTGATTTTGCCCTGCAGCTTCTGGATCCTCCAGAATGTGGCAATGGCTTTGTGGAAGATGGAGAAGAGTGTGACTGTGGGACGATAGCGGTAAATGCAATGTACTTTAAATTGGCAACTAGATTCTCCAGGACACGATGCTGCCCATCACTGCCATTGACAATAAGTGGAGGAAGACAGGCAATGTTAAGGTCCTGTGGCAAAGGATTCATCATTTCTTACCTTCTTCCATCATGTTGGACACAATGTGGCACAACATTTTTATTTTACCAGCACATAAATTGTGAAGACTGATAGCAATAGCTACCTGTGCAGAATCAGGCCTTAAAAGATGTTAAAGAAAGTATTTTCCTAGATGGGAACATGACTCTTGTCAGTGCTAAAATGTCAGTATTTAATGATTCACACTGTGAAGTTAGGAAAATTATTTCCTATATTGCATAGCAAACAGCTGTGCAGGAGCTTCATACCCAACAGTGTGTGCTTTTTTTTCTGCCTCCAGGTGCCTAAAAGCCCGGTTAAAAATCTGTTCAGGTAGTGCGCTAAGAGAAGAAGTAATAAGAGAGCTTGGGGCTCATCTGCTTTTCCCATGTATTCTGTTCTAAGTGTGTGTGTTCCTCAGGAGTGTGCCAGCGAAGGCGGGGAGTGCTGCAATACTTGCACCCTGACGGCGGGTTCCCAGTGCAGCAACGGGCTTTGCTGTCGGAAGTGCCGGGTAAGGGCAGTGACCTTGGCTGCAGCGTCCTGACAGTAACGCATCCAGGTGGCCCCAGGCACTGCAGCGCGGCTGTTTCCTTGCAGACCTTGTGTTTCCTGTCCTGAAAGCTTGCCTTTTAAAATTGGCTGCAAACTGGTTCGCCTTTTAAAATTGGCTGAAAACTGGTTCGCCTATTCTCTGTCTTTTAGTCTGGGCTTCTGGGGGCAGGGGTTGTGATCAGACACAGAGGTGAATTAAAGCCTTTCAGTTTCTGACAAGTTTGAATCGATCTGAAGTTCTACAAAGTTTCATTAGATAGCCTTGTTTTAAACACACATATCGTTACCCGTGTGCTGCTCCCAACACCTTACGTGTTGCTCTGGATTTGCCCCATGGGACTGAATGGGAAAATCGTACCACAGAGGCCAGAGAGAAGGATATAATAATAATAATAATAAATAAACCCCGAACAAACCCCCACAGCCAGCAGAATTGTTAAGAAGTGTTCATTGAGTAAAGAGAATCAAGCCCTATGTAAACTATAAGGTATTCTTCCTGATACATCAGTAAATAGTAAAAGGAGGTTTATCCAGATCTTGGCTGTAAGGGAGCCCAGCTAAATATGACTTCAAATAGTTGTTTATACTCATTTAGTAATAATGATAATTATTATTAATGTTATTAAAAATGTGGTGTACTATGTGTGATATTTTTATCTTTGTCTGTGGGCATTTGAAGTTTTCATTTCCTTAGGAGGAACATTAGTAATAATTGTGGACCACATTCTTGTCTTTGTGCTCATCCTAATGTTAAAAAAAGAAAAAGCACAGATTATGCTGGAACAGATCACATTTCTCTAAGCACATTCCTTTTTTTCTAATATACTGTAAAAGATTAGCAGATTGCACATGTGGGTGAATTTTATTCAAGTATCCAAGTTACACAGGTGCCATATTAAAGACTCTCAGAAAAAAAATTAAGCATCTGGGTACCTACTTTATTTTTACACATGAGACAAGGGTTTGTCTACATACAGAATGGCGAGGCTGAGCCAATGAAGAGAAAGGCAGAGTTTTTCAAAACATGTCTCCCTAGGAGGCGTTAATTAGGACAACTCAAAAGACCACACATAATGAGCGGTTCCCAGACTTGGGTACCTTCCCCTGTAATACCCTGCCTGA